CGTCTATGTTCACACTCGGGCTGAAGACGTAAATTCTCTCAAAGACGCCGCGATACTGCTCCAGAATCAGGCTGATCAGAGCCACGGTTTTGCCCGATTTTGATGGCCCGAGGAAAATGCCCGTGCGCGGCACCAGTGGCACCACGGGGTCAGAGGCTTGTTTGCTGCTATACTCTGTCGTAGGAAACAGCTTGATCTTCCCCATTTCCTTTGCGTTACTTGCCAAATTTGAAGCCGGGAAGCCGGGCGAGTCCGGGAGAAATGCCATATTTACGGCATCGCAGCCGGAGTTTTCCGGGAGTGTCCTGCTACACAGCAGGTCGCTGACGGAGTTTTCCGGGCAATCCGGGGCGGCGAGTCCGGGAGTGCATCGGTGTGTACCGACGCGCTTCCAGAGTTTTCTGGGAGACACCGGGGCAATCCTGTGCCCACGCCAGGATTGAGTGGGGCAATCCTGTGCCCACGCCAGGATTGAGTGGGTCCTGTGCCCACGCCAGGATTGAGTGGGGCAATCCTGTGCCCACGCCAGGATTGACGGCTGGGCGTGTGAATGGCGGGAAAAAACACTCCGGGAGTTATGCTGCGAGGACAGCATCGCTCCCGGACCTTCGGCGCTGGCCCGGTGATGGGTTTTTCGGGCAATCCTGCGCCCACGCCAGGATTGACGGCTGGGCGTGTGAATGGTGCAAAAAAACACTCTGTCAGCGGTACCGCGAGGACAGCAGCGCTGACAGACCTCCGGCACTGGCCCGGCGATGGGTTTTTTCGGCAAAAAAGCGAAGTCGGAATTCCGACCTCGGTGGTGGTGCAGGCAGGCTGGAGGCTTCTATGCCAGGCAGGCGTGGCAGGAAGCTCGGAGCTCGGAGTTTTTGGGGCCCTTATAGGAACCTATAGGAACCTATAGGAATCTTATAGGAAACCCATAGGAAACCCATAGGAAACTCATAGGAAGCCCTCTTCTGCTTTTCCTATGGACTTCCTATGGGTTTCCTATGGGTTTCCTATAAGATTCCTATAGGTTCCTATAGGTTCCTATCTCTCTCTTTAGAGGGGGTTTCCCAAATGGCTTATATTCTACCTGAGAGGCTCCCAGCACTCGTCCGTCCAGCATTTGACCTCGTCCTGCGAATTTGAAGGAGCTCACCGTTTGAGCTCCTTCAGCAAAGTTCACCAAGACCTCTACCTCTCTCTTTAGAGGGGGTTTCCCAAATGGCTTATATTCTACCTGAGAGGCTCCTAGCACTCGTCCGTCCAGCATTTGACCTCGTCCTGCGAAGGATTCGAAGTCTAAAACGCTGCGTGGAGGCGTGAGGCTGCAAAATAGAGACCCTAGATATGCGCTGCAATTTGGCTCCAGGTTGCATTTCAAGCGATGTCAAGCTTTGCCAAAGGAAACCCCTTTTCCCTTTTTTTCGGGGACCCCTTTTTTTGGGACCCCTTGTTTTCTTTTTTTTTGGTTTTTCTTAGCCCTGCAAAGGTTGGCTCGCTTGAAATGCAACCTGGAGCCAAATTGCAAGCATATCTAGGGGTCTCTATTTTGCAGCCTCACGCCTGCACGCAGCGTTTTAGACTTCGAATCCTTCGCAGGACGAGGTCAAATGCTGGACGGACGAGTGCTAGGAGCCTCTCAGGTAGAATATAAACCATTTGGGAAACCCCCTCTAAAGAGAGAGAACTGGCCATGTCAGCCAGCCGCTTGCACAAGCCGCTCTGATCAGAAAAAAGTGCAGTCACCGCATGTTCACAACACTCTGCCGGCCCAGCTGGTCCGCTTTTGCTGGGGTTGACTGAAACACTGAAGGGGGGGTCAATGTGCCTCCTGCTCCAGGCGCACTAGTGCCCTGGAAGCAGTGCAACTTTCAGCAATCCCGGTGAAAAGAACTGCGTCCGCTTCGGACGAGCTTTGTTCTTTCGAGGTTTCATGTTTGGGTTCAAGCTTGGAGCAATGCCTTAACGCTTAGGGTTTCTTTTCTCTTGTGTTTAGGGCATGTGGTGAATCGAACTGTGCGTTGGCCGTTTTGCTCCTAGCCTTGACCCAAACCTGCGGTTTCATTTCGAAACCCACCCACCCACCCTGCCTGCCCCATGCCAGGCTTTGCCAGGATAGACGGCAGTCTCCGGACTCGGTCTCCGGACCTCGAGTCTCCGGACTGTCGGTCTCCAGACCTTGGGGCGCCCCCCCAAGCACTGCATTTACCCGCAAGGACACGCATTGTCTTGCCTTTTCACATTTCGGGGGGTCAATGTGCCTCCAAGCAGTGCAACTTTCAGCAATCCCGGTGAAAAGAACGGCCGCTTCGGACGAGCTTTGTTCTTTCGAGGTTTCATGTTTGGGTTCATAGCTACAGCCTTAACGTATCGAGTTTTCCGGTCGGTGCTTTTTTCCCTGCATGTCCTCCCTTTAGCTTGAAGCAGTGACCAAGATTCTAACATGCGTGCTGTGTTTAGATTCCGCTTCAGTGCTTACAGGAGATGCCTGCGTGCAATTCCTCGATGTCTTGTCTCAGCTTGTCACTGAGGCAGGTGATTTTTTGGATCCTCATGCTTAGTATCTCGTCGGGCTTTTTCGTCTCACTATTGCGCCTTTTGCTCTATCCGCATGGCCATTCGTGGGGTTAACAATGCGCAAATGTGCCCCTGGCGGATTTGAGTGCGATATGACTTTTAAGCCCGCCAATTTTCTTAACGCGTCTGGCCTTGACGATGCTCAGGTCACGTACTTTTTGCTTTTGAACTGTGCTCTAATCTCCATTTGGGCGAAACGATTCGTTGCTCGGTGCGCTGTGTTTTTTGGCTGGGCGTTGCGTTGTGTGTTTGTTTTCTCTGTTGTGTCTCTTTCGTTTCGTTTATGTGAGCATCCAGTCTCACTCTGTCTCACTTCTCCAGTATATCCGATGTACATCTTGTTTCGTAACCCATGGCAATTGCCCCAAGGCGCGCAGGTGACAAAAAAAACCAGGTGCCCTGGCTTTCCAAGCAATTTGGTCAAAAAGGTGTGCGCCTTGCAGTCGGCTTTTGGGTTCTGGGTTTCCAGTGATTGAAGGCTAGGAGCAGGCGCGGACCTTCAACTGCACTTCCCGGTTTCTTCTTACGCTCAGGCTTCGCGGCGTTCTTTTGCCCCTTTTGCTTTCTTTTGGCGGCGCAGGGTTCGCCCCTGTTCCGACCTCATCTCGGGCATTGCTGGTGCTGACCATTGCAATTGCAGCCTGGCAGCGGCTACCGCATCTTCGTGTGACACCGGCGCAACCATCACCCTTTTCTGGCGTACTGCCGGGCTCCCATCCGAAACACGCTCTCCAACACGCATTTTGGCTCTTTGCAGACATTGCTGCCAGGCCTTTCCTTGGTAGGACCGTCGACGCATGAGCTCGTATTTCTGACAGATGGCAGGGTTACTTGTCCAGCCTCGTGCGGCTCTCGCAAATTTGTAACGTGGTGTATTGTTTCATGGCGAATGAAAGTGGTCTTGTCTTAACTCATCGAAACTGGACTCTGGCTTTGGGCGTTTCACCCCGTGTCCGTGCTATTGCATTCGGTGTGGGCACAGCCTCCACCACCTTTTCTTGCCAATGATCGGTGACGGCGCACTGTCATCCTTTCTTTTGTGGCAGCTTGCGACGACTCAGCGCTATTGCTGAAACACAATTTTCCCCCAGTGGCTGAACTCCCTCTTCGTTTGTTTGTTTGTTTGTTTGCTGTGCTTGCCACGAATCTATAACTTTGCGAAAGTGCTGCGCCTGCACAATATTTGTGCTTGACCTTGCAATTTACCTGACCTTGCCGCAGTGCTGCGCCTGCCACACAATCTGCACATGATGGGCGAAAGTGCCGCGCATGCCACTTTGCCACGAAATCTGTCCTTGACCTTGGGAAAGTGCTGCGCCTGCCAAGGCATCTGCGCATGACGTGCTGCGCCCCTGGAAATCTACGCACATGCTGCGCCTGAAATCACGAGATCTTTGCCGCACCTTGCGAAAATGCAGCTCCTTCCACAAAATTCGTGCATGACCGTGCGAAAGTGACGAGATTTGAAACTAACTTTGCAAAAGCTCTTCGCTTGCCACAAGATCTGTTCCTGACCCTGCGAATGTGTTGCGCTTTTGCCACATGTCGCGAAAACTGCGCGCCCGTGCCAATGGGCCTGGCGCACTGAGCCCTCTCCGAGAGCGCTCCGAGAGTGCTTTATATTTTTGAGCTTTCCATCCCCCGCCGCACGCACAGACATGTTGTTCACGCGTTCTTTTTTTTCTCTTGTCATTTGTCAGAAAGGTAGCTTTCATTTCGCTGCCGTACCACGCAAGTTCCTTCTGGACATCCCTTGAACAATTCAGACGTTCAACCAGAGAGAGCGTCATTGGGAGTAGGGACTCTTGCGTTGTTGGCCAAACGTTGCAAAAGTATTCAAATTGGGGCGCCGTTGGGCCAACCCATGCTCGCATTCGCATGTTCCAGCTCCTGCATTTTTGCCAAACAGGTGCAGGCCTGCGCGCGAGGGCCACCTTCACGTTTCAGATCTTGAGTGTCCGGCTGGAATATGTGCGTGTCATAGCAAACAATATCTCAGCCATTCCTCGGCTTGTGAACCAACCACGTTTGCGCCATGTCGCTTTCGCGACGTTGGCTTGTAGCCACCAGTTGGCGATGTTGCATGAACTGTTATCAACTTGGGTGGGATTTGGCATGGAAGCACACGTGTGGGAAATCATTTGAAGATGGAATGCACAGATAATTTATTGCACCAAATATAGAGGCCGTCCAAATCGAGTGTGTGCCTGACACTACTTGAGCATGACATCCTTTCGGCTATTTGGGTCCAAACCAGAAAAGTTGGGTGCTTCATGTTACTTGATTGTGACAAGGTGTGTTTCAGACAGTATCTACCCCTTCATGGGGCTTATGCTGCTACGATGGGCAACATCTGAGCATGCGAAAACACGTGTTTTCAATCGGCTAGAATGTTTCATAGGCAAACTCAAGTCGAATCCAACGGTGCCCGAGCCATGGCATCCCAGTCTCCAATTGCCAGGTTTTTTGCGCCGGCAAAAAAAGAGAACGGCTCGCCACCGCAAACTCCAGCTGCACGTGTGAATGGCGAGTTTAGCAATGCGCAAAGCAGCTAGGTCAATAATTGGACATCCGATTCTTTTTGCATGTTCAGCAGTGTGAAACCTGTGGCTTCGATTGATTGCTGAGGTCACGAAAATGCTTGCACGCCGCCTTCAGTGCAGGCCAGGAAGCGCTGCTTGACCAAGCAGCCTGACAGCCAGTGCAAGATGCCCAGGATTGAGCCACCGAGAGAAAATACTGAGAGCGAACCTGCTGAACCTGCAGTGCAACCAGACACCACAGTTGCAGTTGTGCCGGAAGTGCGGGACTTGCGCGCAACATTGCAGCGCGCAGAACAGTCTGGCATGGGTTCACTTCCACCCTTCATTGCAGAGTGTTTTATGGCCTCGCAAGAGAAACTTTGTGTATTCTTTTTGTTGTATGCGTTTTCACAGTCTTGCTGGGATTTTGATAGTTGTTGCAGCACCCAACACGATGAGGTTTCCACCATTACGAGAGCGGGTCTCACAGTTGGCCCCCTTGGATGCGACCAGAGAACTTGCGAGATGGGCAAGGGTTGCGACCATCAGATCCGGGCTACAATCAAAGCACCCTTTGGGTTCCAGATCCTGTCAAGGACAAAGCCGAGTATCAGAAAGCACAGGGTCACAACACCCCCATGTTGATGCAGTACTGGAAGCTGAAGTCGGGGCATTTCGACAAGGTGGCCTTCTTCAAGGTTGGCAAGTTCTACGAGATATTTTACTATGATGCCTTTATTTGCCAGCGCATTTGTGGACTGAAGTGGATGAGCCAAGATAAGAAGCCCCACGTTGGTTTTCCGGAGATGGCAAAGCATGAGTATGCCAAGCAAGTCCTGGCTGCTGGTTTCAAGGTTGTGGTGGTCGAGCAAGTGGAGCGAGTCATAGAGACAAACCAACGGAAATCAGAGGGCAAGCAAAGCACTGGGTCAATCTGCGTGGAGAGGGCGCCTTGCGAAGTGTTCACTAGTGGAACCCTAGTTGATCCAGAGCTACTACAAGGGCCCAGTGCAAGATACCTCGCCTACTTGCACTTTGAGGCTAGCTCCCAGAAACATTTTGCATTGTTTCCTACAGTCTCAATGTGAGCGACAGGTTTGTAGTCGGAGAAAAGCGGTGAGGGCTCAGAGACTAAAACATTCCTTGAGGATAGCAGCCGCCGTGGCTTGGACTTTGCGCTTTGCCTCGTTGACTGCGCAACCTCTCATTTCCAATTGGGACGTTTTACTGATGCCGCTGACCGAAACATGCTGCGAACGCTGCTGGCACAAGTGCAGCCCAGCGAGGCTGGTGGTCCAATCATAACTTAGGTTTCTTCTGGTTCTTCTGTTTCTATGTTCGTTTCTTTTGGTTTCTTTGCACTTCAGACTTGTGGCGACTGCTGCCCAGGTGGTGTATGACGTTGCCAACCTTCCCAGGGAAGTGCTGCATTTGTTGAGGAGGCTGCCATACCGCCCGCAGCTGTCTCCAGTACAGAGTGGCGACTCGGGATTGCTTGCGGCACGGGATCGTCTGAGCAAGTATCGCTCAGCACATCCGAAGGCATTCCCTGAGGAAGTGGAAACCTTGTTGATTCAGGAGGGGCTTTTGGATAAGTTGAAGTTGAGGATGGATAAGAGTGCAGAATGTTTTTTTTTTTGTTGGCTGGTTGTTGAACATCTGAGTTGTGATGCAGGAGAGCGCAGTGATTGCAGCTGCAGGCATTATGGAGTACTTGACCACTGCTTTGTTGTCAGACAGGCTATTGCCTGTTGCCACTTGGTCGACAGTCGAGACGAGTGCACGCAATCAAAGGGCTTCTAGCCGACGGATGGTGCTGGATGCTACTGCTCTCTCAGCTCTGGAGGTTGTGGAAACCCTTGAAGGGAGATACGATGGCTCTTTGCTTTCATTTCTGGATCACACAAGCACCCCCTTTGGATGTCGCCTTTTGAGACAATGGGTTTGTGCGCCCTTGTACGAGCTGGACGACATTCAACAGAGACAAGAGGCAGTCGAGTTTCTGATCCAGAACGGCGAGTTGGCTCAACAGCTTCGCACATCATTGAAGATACTTGACCTGGCAGCATGCTGTTTTAGCTTTCGTCTTTGTGCTCGAATGTCTTGAGACACCACCTTCGTCGCTTAGGAGTGCTGCACAGGCTCAAAAAAGCCATGTCACGAACAATATCCAAAGGCCACAAACATCACCCCGTTCCAATGTTACCCGTGCGTAAAGGACTAGCTACTTCAACCGAATCATTTGACATTTGTGGAAGACAGGAAGATGCACATGAGCGTGCCCACAATAGAAGGCCCTGAGTCTGAGAAATTTGCCAGTTCCAGATCAACGTCATCACCGGAGGCCAAGGCCGTGAATGCTGGGGATGCAGAGGATCACATCCTAGCCCTGAACAACAAACACTGGCTTGTTGTGCTTTCCTCCAAACGAACATGCGACCAGCCAGTTTCAAGCAACTGCAAATACAAGGTCTCAAATGACTTCAACTAACACAGCAACTGTGTTTGTGCCGATTGGAGATCCGAGGCAAAACACCCACTTGCAAATCCGGAGCCCCAGTTTCCTCGAGCCAGTGACTGCCAGATGTTGAGCGCAAAAACTTTAACACGGGCAACTGAGAGACGCTAGCATCGGCGGATGTTAGCGCGAACTTCTAAGGAGAACACATTGTTGACTGCAGTACCCGAAGAATCAGTTTGGAGTTTCAAGACGAAGTGTGATTACACCAAATGGATGAGTGGAATGAGTGTTCAAGCCTGCCATTTCAGGAAGTGCATCGCGGGGTCCAAGATGCCCATCGACCTGGAGCGCAGCACCTCGCGGATCTGGGGTTACGCCTTGCAGGCTGAGCGCCGTGCAGTGATGTATGAGGACTCGGGTGCTGGAAAGATCCTGAAGTCGGTTTCTGATTTGCAGAAGTTCTGAAAGGCTGAAAGGAGAGAGCTGAAACGAGGAATGGCGCTGTAATTGACACACACGTCAGAGGCTCATGCATTGCCAGGACATCACAGCCAGGCGTCTGGCGCACTTTGTCGAGCTTATGGAGGCCCTGTGCCCAACTGCTTTTAGTGGATTGAATGCGCAGAGCAAACGTATGGGCACCCGCTTCTTTTTTACACAATCCTGCCATGCTGCCCGGCTGTTGTTCAATGTGTCGTTTTTTTAGACTCACGAGTTTGGCATAGACCTGTGTAACATGTGGCCGTTTGTGGTGCAGCTTGTCACAGGCCTACGCGCAGTGCTACAACCTTTTGGCCACTGCCTTCCCTGACAACCTGCCAGGCACGAAGTGCAACAATTTTTTCATGACCCTGTGTTGGAATTGAACAACGCAGTGTTTCAAAGGGTTGCTGTCAGGTCGCCTGGCCATGGTAGCAAGGCCGCACGAGAAGGGCGGTAGCCTGCCTGAGACTCGGGCTGCACATGCCGGGAGAGATGTATGTGACCTAAGGCTCAAAAGCCAAGGAGAGTGCCCCCACATATGTTGCATTGGTGTCTTTTGAGAAATAAACATACATTGGTTTCTTAAGATATCAGCGCTGGCTTGACCACCATTCTCCCCTTGATGCCAAGCTGCAAAGGAAGTCAGTTTGCTCAATGTGTTTGTGTCTTCCGACTTGGACTCAGGAACTTTTGCCTACCATTTCTCGGCTCAAAGGCAGTGTGGTGGAGACCACGGCGAAGAATGGTGCTGTGAAGTATAGGCAAGCAATACAAGTTGTGGTGTTTGGAAGAAACAGATACGATGAAGGCCATGCTGTAAGTGAGTAGTTTTTTGCAGGCCGCAAGACGGAGCAGATCCTCTCTACGATGAGAAGAATGGCAAGCTGGAAATGATCCAGGGGGAACTGGATCAAGAACTGAAGAGCCTGCATAAGAAGTATCCCAAGGTGCCCTGATTGACTGAGTAGTTTTCTCATTTGAGTTTACACAACGTGTTCTCAACGGACACAAGAATAATGTCGAGTTCGGATTTTGTTTTTGTTTGTTTGCGCACAGCACATTATATCCATTGTGGAGCTGATCAGAGCTTCCGAGTGCGTATTCTCCTTCCCTAAAAAAGCTGCCGAGGTGAGCTTCTCCTTCGTCCACCGGTTGCCCGGCTTTCGCTACGAGGTGGAGTGCGAGGAAAATGCCATGGGCGCTGCTGTGAAGAGTCTGGACGTCACCTACCGCAGCAAAGGCAAGATGTGTGCCTTCTTTTTTTGCAAGGGTTCCCTGTTCCCTGTTCAAATTAGTTTATCAGGAAACCGACGTGGAAGCCGACCATTCAGGGGGTTCCCCTTTGCATACACACCTGCATACCCAAATGACAAGGCAATCTCTTGCAGAGTTTCTGCCAAGGTGTGAGTTCATTTCCTGCAGACATTGCTTCTAGACGTTTCAACAATTGCCGCGAGGCAAGGTGCGCTTCTACACAGCAAAGATTAAGGAGCTCCTTGCGCAGATTGAACAGCTGGAGGATGAGAGGGAGGACGGGTGACCTAGCTCGCAGACAAGAGCTTTACCTCAAAACCAGGAAGTATGAGGGACCCTGGTTCAGCGTCGTCCCGCTTGCTGGCTGGAAGTATCAAACCAAATTATACGGCCTTTAGGCTGGCGTGGTGGATATCCTGCTTTCTTGGGGTGAGCTCTTGTGTGTGGTTGCTTCGGTTAGAATCCTCGGAGCATTCGATTTAAGAGTAGGTCCGAAGGTCTCATGTAATTGTTTCGGACAAACTGAGGGTGCTACTGCGATCTAGCACGGTTTGGATCTGGGGTCAGGCATAATTTTGAGCTACCGCAGTTCGAGTTGCTACTGTAGTGAGTTCGGGACTTGGACATCGCAGCAGGCTTGACTGCACAAAATGCAATGCACATTGAGCGCTAGAGATTCAGCACAAAACATGACGTACCTTCCATGTGTGTGCTTGCAGGAACAGGGGAGCGTGACAGCTGGCTGTATCGTATTTTTTGGTTTGCTAATTTGGGCTGCTATAAAGAGGCTGTTATAGTCATGTCGTGCGAGCTGTGTCAGGGTTTGAGTTGCCCAATTCGCATCGCAATGAATCAGCTTGTTCTTGGTGCGCAAAGCACGGGTGCACTCCTACAACCGGCTCTTTGACATGGAGCAAAGGCGGTTTTCACAGCGAGTGGTGCAAGCTGTTTTGTCTACTGATGTTGCACGTGTTGATGCACTGAACTGTTGCCCAATCTTGATGCCTTCTAGATGCAAGCGGCTTAACACGCCTTCATATATCACTTGCTTTGATGGCATTCTTTCTGACTTTGTATCAAACATTGTGTTTGTAATCAGTGGCCCCAAACAGTGCATGATATCCAAGACAACAGATGCCTTTCCTGACATGTTTTCACAGTGCAAAACCGGATTGTCCTGGGCCTTCGCACAATTCGAGCCAAGAACTAGCTGCTGGAAGTGCCTCGCTCATTTTTGTTTCTGCGGGATTCCACTGAGATCTGACAGGACTGCATTTTCCCCTTCCTGTCCAAGCTCTTCCGAGACTTCCACTCACACCAGGCATTGTTGGGCAGCTCAGAAAGGCATAGCTGATTTTGGACATTGAGCCATTGACAAGGTGACCCTTCCTCTACCCTTGGATTTGCGAGGACATGGCGACCAAACCAATTTCACTACAAACAACCCAGGTTTTTTTCTGTAATTTTGGCTTCTTGCAACTGTCAATGGGCTGGCTCATTCTAGAACCCCGGCTGCAACCTAAACGCAGCGAGCACTGAACCGTTCAACCCCCAGCGTTTTCACGGGGGAGGTGTAGTTCACGACAAATGTTTGATCAACCATTAGTATTCAGCGATCGCGATTCGTTGTTTGTACATCTGCTGATTGTCTTTGGATATTTTTTGCTCTGAGACCTGAAAGTCCACATAAAGTGTTAGTGAGGTCACATGGTAGTTGTTTCAGTCCACTGCCCCCTTGGTGCCATTTCTGGCTATTTGCCTCAATCGCTGCCTGCCAGGCACCCTTCCGCGCGCTGCTGCGCTGTGTGGCAGAGGTAGATGCGCTGCTTGCGCTGGCCAAGGCGTCCCAAAACCTCGGGGTCAATTGTCGCGCGGAGCTGGTGGCCACTGAGGACGGAGTCTTTGAGGCGGACATTGTATCCAAACATTGGAGTTGTGCTCAACTTGAGTCAGCTCACTGCTTAGGCTCTCCAAACACCTGCATTTCTGTGTGATTGGGTCTTTGATGCTGCCAGGGCTTGTGTGAAGCGAAGTGAAGTGATTGTTTCCAGGTTGACTTTGAGAGCTCCGCTATCAGGACTCGGCGCCGGCATGTGTGGAGCTCCGCGCTTGCCGGCACCCAGTGGTTGCGGCAAAGATGGGCAACGCCTTTGTGCCCAACGACACGCTGCTGAACTGCTGTGGCGTGCCAGGCCTTAAGAACTGCAAGCGTCAGAAAGCGAAGAGAGCGATTCGCATTGCATTGCCTCTGTAGCCATGTGTTGGCCCCGCCAGGCGACATGTTTGCTTTGCTTCAGACTTATCATTAGTGGCTGAGACCACCACATCGCCGACTTTGGCCACTGAATATTCATGGTAGGTTCGACACAGAACTACTTTTTGAACCTTCCATCCTGCTGAGATACATGTTACAGCTGAGCTTGATCGAAAAAGCTCACCAATGGTTCGTAGTCTGTGGAAGCAAGCTCTTCCTGTCTCCTTCAAGTCGGCCAGGCATTCTTATCGTGACGGGCCCCAACATGGGCGGCAAGTCCACAGTGCTGCGGCAGACCTGCATAGCCGCCTGTTTTAATGGGTTGCGCGCCTGAAAATGGGGCTTGTTTTGGAAAGCCTTTGATGTGTCGACATAGTGGAACCCCCCAAACAAATGGTGGTTTCAGTTGTTTCCCTAAAGGGACCGTCAAAAACGCACTTTGAGACCGGACGAGGCGGTGATCCTGGCCCAGCTGGGCTGCCGAGTGAGTGCTGCCAAATGCCGGCTGAGTCCAGTGGAGCGGATCTTCACACGCATCGGTGCCTATGATGCGGTGCTGGAAGGGAAGAGCACGCTCCTGAACCAATATTAGCTGTTATTAGCTGTTATTTAAGTTATTAGCTATCCCCCAGCTTGATTGGGGCGCAGAGCTGAGATCATGAGGTTTGGTCAACAGTTCCAGAATTGAAGGTCCATTCTGGAGGGATGTTGGGGAACTGACTGAATTTGCCAGCAAATCCATGTGCAGCTCAGGCTGCTCACCGAATTGGAGGACAGGCTTCTGCCTGGTACTTCTGACAAGGGCAACCTTAGCCAAGCTGTTTCGCCCCACGTAGGAGACGGCGGCCCTGCTGCTGCACGGCTCCCCGAAGTCCCTAGCGGTGCTGGACGAGCTGGGCCGCGGCACCGCCACCTTCGACGGGGCCGCCTTGGCCTCCGCAGTGCTCACCGAGCTGAAGCGGGTCCAGTGCCCGGCGCCTTGGAACGGCTTGGAACGGCCTGGAACGGCCTGGAACGGCCTGGAACGGCCTGGAACGACCTGGAACGGCTTGTCGCTGTCGTGTCCCTTGTGATTTGTTTGCATTTTTGTATTCCCCCCGTAGTGTCTTCCTTTTTGCTGCTTCCTTGTGTATTTTTGTTTGGTGGTTGTCCTGTTCTCTTCGTTTCCTTTTTCTTCCTTCCCTTCCTTGTCTCCCTTCTTCAGCCTTTTATTTCTTTTATTCCTTTTCTCCCTTTGCTTCCGTATCTTCCTTTTCTTTTGCAGCCTTCCCTCGTTCCTTTTCTTTTTGCTCTTGCGTGGCCTTGGTAATTTGGGGGCAACAAAGCGGCAGCAGGAAAAGCAAGGAGAGGAAGGATGAATTTCCCATGTCAAGCACAGACGCCGCCTTCTGTTGAGTCATCCGAACAAGCAGCCTCAGTCCATGACGTACATGTTGCTGTATGTAACGCATCTGGCTGCATTGCCATTTGTTCCGGACTTCTTGGGAGGTGCCCGCGAATCTGAGAGCACGTGACTTTTAGCCATGAGCTGAGGTTCTCTTTGCTACTCACTACCACCCTGTCTCGAAAAAGGCGGTGGAAGACACAGCCAAGGCAGATCTGGTCTTGGTTTCACACTGCCTTTTTTGGGCGTCGGCATGTTTCGGCCAGTTTTTCCGAAAGGTGGCGCCCTTTCACATGGCAGCGGCAGTGGACCAGCACCAGACGACTTTCCTGTACAAGTTCCTTCCGGGTTTGTGCCCCGCTTCCCTGGGCCACAACGTGGCAAAGATTGCAGGGCTGCCTGAGCAGGCGCCCTTTTCACCGCGCCCTGTAGAGCCAAGCCCGGTTTGAAGTGCCCGTTCATTGAATAGACTCAATTTGAGTTGCCATACGTCGTTACGTCGCCATGGAGTTCCTTATTTGACCCCCGCAGGTGCTGGACGAGGCTCGTCGCCGCTCCGCGGAGTTCCAGGGCCTCGCAGGGCTGGAGGACTCCAACGGGTGGGCGATTTGGATACTATCGCACCGCTGATCTCGTCTTTTGCGGATTGGGTAGGGCTTGGTTGTCTCTGGCCTTCGGCAAACTGGCAAGCTCGCCAGGAACTGACACGATGTGCGGAAATGGGGGAAGAGGCACTGAAGGTGCGTGGCTCAGCAAATGCCAGGAAGACTGGTTGGTCTGCATCAGGAATCCACTCAGCTTTCAACCAAAGTTGAATTGCAGCTTGTCTTCCTTGTTTGTTTGCCAATATCCACAAGGACGTTATGAGATGCCGTGCATTCAGATTGTAATCTTTGACACGATTTAGGGCTCTAGGTATGGTTTATTTGGTCACGGCATCCTAATCCTACGTGGGGAGGCACCCGCTTTGGCTTCAGGAGCTCTTCCGGCGCCGTGCTCAAGGGACTATTGGCTGAGGTGCTTCGATGGGGTTCCCTGGCTGCCAGGGCTCAATGCTGCCATGAATTTCTCGGGTTTCCTTGTGTATATTCTGGGTCACGTGATTGTGTGCCATGATGAAAAGTTCTGGCTTCAGTGGGTTTACCTGGATGATCATCAACCTCTTCACTGGAATTCAGTCAACAAAGGTAAGGATTCCTAGTGAGGGAACCAGGACGACGAGCCGCAGAAGGTTTTCCACGGTCCTTTTCAATCTTTCTGTTCGTAGAAGCTTTGTCATTTCAATTTCTACTACAGGCATGAGAGAGTCTTTGCGTTATCCATTTTTTTGGTCACCATGCTGTAGTCAAGCCTGTTCACGGACCAATACGAGGATCGTGCCGGATGCCAACATGCATTATGCTGTCTGCAGTTCATCAGCGAATCTGACGCGGAATCAATGAGAGGACTGGCTACAGTAATTGAGGTTTGCCAAACGAAGGACAATCGGAAACTGCGCGTTACCAAGCTGCTTTCTTCAGGGACCAAATCCCAGTGTGGCCTGCAGTGGGATTTAAGTTTCACGTAGTGAAATCAGGGATGCATGCCGGTACATGCAATTGGGGATGCTGCGGGGCCAAAAGAAATTGGGGGAGGCGGAAGTCAAGCTAGCATTCAGCAAGCCCATGATTTTGAGCTGCCGTGGGCTGCAAGGGCAGGCTCATGATGATGCATGATGCACATGTACTGTACTTGGTTGTCGTCTGGGCTCAAAAGGCCGAATTTCTGAATTTCTAATGAGCGCAGCAAAGCGAGCCAAAGGTGAAAGGAGGACCAACTGAAAGTTTTGTTGTCTCATCATCTCGGGGTTAAAGCAGAATGAACAACATCGCTTTGCAGCCCTAGCAGACTCCTATATCAAATTACGAAGAGCCGAGCAGCAATGTGCCCATGCTGCTTGTGCTTTGCCGACAGTGCTAATCTGTCATGCTGATACCTGAGGCCGGCCGGCTTGGTGTTGCGCTCTGGATGTCTTTTTTGCTTGCTTTTTGCTCTTTACTTTTCCTCTTTCTCTTTCTCAATCTTTTCTCTCTCTCTCTCTCTCCCTCTCTGTCCCTCTCTTTCGCTTATTCCACAGGCTTGTGGTGGTGTGCTCCGAGCTGATGCAGCTGCCGGAGCTGGCTCCGCCGCTGGCGGTGCCCTCTCCGCCTGCAGAGGCGCCAGTGCCCTTGGGTGCCGCTCGGCGAAAGGGGGGGGTTCCAGCTTTGCGGCAAGGTGGGTCCACGTCAACATGGGTGGCTCTTTTGATTCCCTCAAAACATGCGCATACACACAAATCTCACAGAGTTAGCATCAACATTACAGTCATTTACTTTATGTAGGAGTGTTTCATGCACGTGTTGTTTTTGTGTGTTTCTCGAAAAACGATACGGGACGTCCAAAAAAACGATACCCCAACACCTGACAACACCACATGCTACGCACACGCGCAACACAACACACAACACAACACACAACACCACACAACACAACACCACACACACACACACACAACACAACACACCCACCCACCCACACACACACACACACCACACACACTTCCGACATGCACCATGTCCCCCACGTGCTACGTAAAATGGTTTTAGCCCATGTTTTGGCAGCACTTGGTAGCTGGTCACCCAGCCACTGAAGGTAAGACACTGCTCACTTCGACACCACACCCCCACCCAGCCGCCAGGCCATGCAAATGCTTCCGTGTATGCATCCCACGCATGCAGGCTGCACACATGCCCGCGGAAGGTCGGCAAGCATGCACGCAAGGGCGTATGTAGTTACGCGGGGGCACGTGGCCCGCAGGCGTCCGCAGGCGCACCCAGGCACGCAGCCCATGTCACCATTTGTGGAGTTTGTGATGCTGTGATGTTGTGGCTCAAGTGCTCTTCTCCCTCTCATTTGTCAGTGTAGCAGGTTCCTTCCCATCTTCTGAATATTACGAACGCGTGTCCACATCGGCTTGTGTTGCCTACGCCCATGTGGGCCTGTGGGCCCAGGCGCTGCCAAACGTGTATGATGCATGCCCAAGTACACCCAGGATAGGCAAGACGTCACGCTGCACGACAGCCACAGCCCAGGAAAGCAGGCAGGCCTGGGCTTTGCATGCTGAGGTACAAATCCCGACCGCAAAATGCGAGGAGGGCTCGGACACGTGGCAGCATCGCTGGTTGAAGCGCTGATTGAAGAGCGACATGACGACCACGACCGGATATATATGTATATATATATACATATTGCAATCTAAACGTTTACACAGGTATGCCTTTGAATATCCGCTGCACTGTAGCAAACTAAAGCAAGCAGGCAAGGAGGACGGCTGGCTGGCAGGCCGACCAGCCGGCTTCATGCTTTCTAACTCAGTTTCTCTGTCAGCCTTGTGAGGTTTGGGAGCCCGAGGGCCGGAATGAGGTCATCGTTCTGCCAGCTATGGGCAGTGTCACAGGAGACTGCATGTGCCTTGCTTTGAGGGCGTTACCTTGCCAACTTTGGCCGGCCCTTTGCATCCCAGCTTAAAGTGCTCAATAAGTTGCAGCCGCCCCAACCATGGTTCCTAGCCACCAATTTGCTTGTGCATCTTCAATGATTCAAACGCAGGTTCACGTTCGAATGTGCCAGCTTCGAATCAATGCATGAATTGGCAGATGCCCCATTGAAGCGACAAAATAGCAGCAGCCATATCTTCCGACATAGCCAGACCAGTTCTGACATGATGCACCGTTTCATCAAGCCATTGTCCAGGTGCGGGACCTGTCAAGTCTTCCTCTTTTTTTGTGCGTCGGAAGTTCCGGCCGTCATTTGCCGCTTGCGGGCAAATAGAGCAAGGAGAAAGCCAAGCCAAGCCCAAGCCGGGTCAGATCCTGCAGGCACTTGCGGCAATCGTTGCCGGCATTGCAGGTGTTGAAGGTAAGCAAGAAGAGGCCTGTTTCAGGAAAGCAGATGCTAGGACTTGGCGGCTTGCTAAGGCTTGCGGAAGGCCTTTGACTTGAGAGACAGCCAGCTTTTGCAGCCCCCATGCTTCCACTGAACAACACTCTGGACTCTTGACCTTGCACACGTGCTTGACGTGTTGCCTGTCGGGCGTGAAGACTTGGCTGCTGCATGCAGGCCATGCCGTGGTTCCTTGCAAACCAGGACGACTCGCTGCTTGACTGCACTATGCACACTCTTGGAGTCATTGGTTTGCGGTGCCATAGCTTTATGCCATGTGATTTGCCGAATGTGCAGGGAGCTGTCCTTTTTGCTGCCTCATGACTGGAGTCAAGACTGCCTGGAGCTGCTCTCCTGCAGCTGCGGTGCCTTGCTGGTGCTTGCCTTTCTTGGCATTATCACGTCATTGGCAGGGGCCTCGGGTTTGCAGATGCTTGAGCTGAGGTGTTGGGTTCCAAAGAATGGAACTCATGACTGCATGGATGGTTTTTTGTCGGCGATGGCACTGCTAGCGCAAGACAATGCCCAGGTCATGATGATTTTCAATGAGGTCATGCCTTTCATTTGCCCTTCTCACCATGCCCTGACCTGAGATGAGGCATGCCACGGGCACAGTTCATGTTGTTTGTCGCAAGCTTTCCAAGAGTCAAGCTTAGATTCTTTGCTGGGATGAGGATCATGTGAATCCCAAGGGCCCAATCGTGCCCGGGACATGAGACAAAAGCACCAGGACAGTGACATGTGAGTTGGATGTTTGGATTCGCAAGCTTTTGACATGTTTGGCCTCTCAGCACGGATACCTGTGAGTTGCACGACATACCACCAGACATGTTTGTGTTTTTGTTTGGCACACAATGCCTTGCATTGCTGAGGTCCAATGCCGGCTTCGGGAATTGACACCCAACGAGAGCTCGCGCCGAGTTAATGTGTCGATCTTTTTGCTGTGCTCGATCACGCTGCCAATCGCCATGGCTGCATGCCAAAGTCATTGCATGTGTGCCGCGCCCAGAATTGGGAAAAGGCGGTGCGGGTTGTATTTCCTGAGATGCAAATTGGTCTGAGGGAGCAAGTGACAAGCTGTTTTTAGTTGATTGGTTGTTAGATTGTATAGGTGCAAGTAGATTTTCACCAAGTAATGTTGATTAGGAGACGAGAGTCATGTTGATGTCATGTGAGAAACCTGCAGCTCAGTTTGCGTGGATGAAGAGCAGTTGTTGTAGTGAATTTCTAGCATATTCTAGCACGTAAGCAGGGACAAGCTGATTCACTTGTGGAGTCCAATAATGTTCGGGCGCGAGTGACATAGTACGTCTGATCATTTGTTTGTTCGCCAATGCATTTTGCTCCTTGTCTCCGGAGCTCAGGTTTGCGCGTCTTCCTCCGGGAAGGCGGTCTATGGCCTTGGCTGAAGGGCCGGCGAGATGCAGTGCTGCGACGCCCCTTGGCACAAGCTTGGGTTTGGAAGCCAACCAGAGGCGATCGAGCGACACTGTGACACGCCGGCGACTGGTAGCAAACTGGTAGCAAACTGGTAGCAAACCGATCCGAGTCCTCTCACAGACTCCGTGCCCAGGCTGTGCAGCGGCTCCGTCAGCGCTAAGGAGCGCTTGTTGTTTCATGGGATTGAGTGCCAGAGCTGCAACTCGATGAGGGTGATGAATTGGTGGTGAGAGTTGACTGCTGCTTCTGTGAAGGGAGTGATTTAGAGTTGAGAGAAGATCCCGTCGCAGGCGATGTTGTTGGCGCCCAAGCAAAAGCCGAGTGCAGCCTGGCGAGAGCAGGCAGGGAAGGCCCACCAACATAGCACCCGTGAGAGCCCTGGGAAGGTACCTAGATGCATTTCTTGAAGAGACCCTCGTTAGTGGGAGTTCATTTTGGAGAGACTTTTTGAACGGGTGGCACAAAACGGGTCTTAGCCGTTGGCATTTGGTTTTCCTTTGCTTCGACCTCAGGGAGCTGCAGCGCTGCTTCGGCGTGCACCAGGCGCTTGGCATATGGCGCGCGTGTCACATTTTGCTTTCAACAGATTTTGTTACGAGCTGATACAGCTGAGAGCTTCACATGCCAAGTGGTCGGGAAGAGTCTTGACCATTTTGGGGGTTGACTGTCTCGAGTCTTCACCCATAGCCATGTCATTCCGCTAGGACTTCGACGTCATTCTGCCCAGCAACAATTTCAAGGGCATCCCTGGCCTGGGCAAGAAGTTGAGCCCAGGTGGGATCGAGAATTGAGGGGAGCACTTGTGCGGAGGCTTGTTGGCCCTGGTATTTGCATGTCAAGGTTGAAAGCTGTGCCATTCTCTCCAGTGTTGGTAGTGTATAGAAAACAAAGGGCAAGAAGCCTTATGCAAGTGCAGGCAAGCTCGCCTGGCCTTGCAGACATACACATGGCGTTAGGGATTTGTCACCGAGGGACCAGCTTTTTCGAGCCCGTCAAGGGCCAACTCCTCTTTTGCGGAACTAAGTAATGTCGAAAAGCAAATAGAGTTGTTTGAAGTGTTCGGGACTTCCTTTTTGGACGTCCTTTGTGATTTGCACGGCCCGTTGGCGACAATGTTCGAAACCTGCACCGTGAAGACGTGCCCTTGTTCAGAGGCCATGCCTGTGTGATTCCAAGTGCATTTGGAACATGCCCTGACCTGGCTTTGCGATCCTTGCAAATGTTGCAAGTTGTTCCCTGAAGGCTTTCCCAAGCACTGGCATCATACAGTTCCAGATTTCCACGAGACAGTCGAGCTGAGCACCATTGAGGGTCAGGGTGCTGAAATTGCGCCTTGGACAGAATGCGGCATGCTCGTGATCCGGAGGGGGGGCACATAGTTAGTGAGGTATGCTTTCTACGTGGAGCACCATACAATGGAGGGCGGGCACGTTGTGCAATGTATAGCGGATGGGAAGTTTCACTTTCGGCCCAAACTGGTTTTTGGAGCACAGTTTTGTTTGATCTCTGAAGATCCGAGGCAAGCCGAGGCTATGAATTTGTGATAAGTGCTCAGGCACAGGATTGGGTTAAAGGTGCTCGGGCGATCTGTGACCACTTCGGTTGCCGTCCCATCCTCCGTGCAGGGCCCTACGTTTGTGTTTTGTTCCTGGGCCCGCAAGCCCAGACTTGTTGGGGCAGCTGAAAAAGGGCTCCGGGGAAGCAGGACTTCACAGGCTTTGAGTGGTTTTTGCGGTCAGGCTCGCCTGGTTTTGGATGATCCAACCTGGCACCAGCCTCCTCGATGCGAGCGAGTGCCTTGGAAGAGGGAGGCAAGCAGTGGACAATATACTCTATAGTGTCTCACTGTGTTTTAGGTTCTTCTAAAGTGCTGATCAAGTAACAACCGGGAACATATTTGTGAGAGCTTGAGCTGCATGTCTTAATGATCTGGAAAGGCAAATCTTTGAAACTTTGTAGGTTAAGCATATTTCAGGCCTTGCACTTCAACGTGCACGGGCACCATCGGGATTCTTGAGTGCAAGAGTTAGGCCATCAGCCACCCCAATGGCATGAATCTGCCCGAATGTGCCACCATTTTTTTATGCGCTTGCAAATGGGTGCAGCCACCCCCTCTCCTTTTGCATTGGCTTGGGTAAACACATGACGTACATTGACATGGTATTTTGTGGTTAAAGCTTGGCAAAAGGCTCAGGCAACTCTCAATGATAGCGTATATAGGTGCTTGGGCGTTTTTATTTGACTGCATCGGGTACATTGCCTTCCGTCTCAGCACTTTCTGCATTCCCCCAAGTTCCAACAAACCTTTTGCCAGGGCAAAGTTCTTTGCGGATCTCGATTGAGAGGCTTTCCATCCATTTGGGTGTTTTCTTCAAGGCTACCTGTTTCACCTTGGTTTAAAGGGAGACCAAAACAGAAGCCAGAAAGGAAGCCAAAAGAAACGCCGCTTGTGAGGTCCACCAGTTCACCTTGGATATTCGGCTTAGGTGCTTCGAATCGAGAGCTCCGGCGCCTGGGTGGCCTACTGCAGCCGCAAAGCCCAGCTGCGACGCGAGGCGCTGGCGCCGGTGCCCGTGGGGCCTGCGCCGGAGTGGGCAGACTTGGACGCGAGCGGCTCGGCTCCGTGGTTTCTTTTGTTTCCCCTTGTCGTTTTTTGATTACAAACCCGTTTTGGTTGGTTGGGCATCTGAGTTGGAGACCTCATGTATCAGCTCCATGGTGGGTTTCCTTTTGGTTTCCCTTTCAAGCAATCTTCAAAATGATGCCCTCGAAAAGAAGACATGCCTAGAATCTCTAGTGAACCTTGAATCGTTCAGGATCCTTGTTTTCGGATGTTTCCTTCCCATGATTGCTGACTTGAGTGGCAAACTCAGAAGAAAGACAACATGGAAAGACAGGATTGGGTGTCCTGTGCTCACGAGCATGAGCACTAATGATGATAGATGCTAGGCTTGATTCAATCCAACATTGCACATGAAGCTGTGCATTTGCTTCTCGCGCTGTGCCAGCAACGCGGTAGGGGCGGTAGGCTGAATTGCAATCGCGGTGACCACTAGCGTTCAATGCCAGTGTGTTTGTCTTGGTAAACGAAGACTTTGCAACCTTTGCAGAGCTTGCGAACAGTCGCAACAAGAGAGTCGTTGATTGTACATTTAGGTGTGGGACGGATCGGACAGAGGCTCATTTTTTTTGTTTTTGTTTTTTGTTTGGCGACGTCTTTGTCTTGCCTTCCTTTGTTTCTTTCCTTCATTCTTTCCTTCCTTCCTTCCTTCCTTCCTTCCTTCCTTCCTTCCTTCCTTCCTTCCTTCCTTCCTTCCTTCCTTCCTTCCTTCCTTCCTTCCTTCCTTGTGTTTGTCGCGCTCTCCTTTTTTTTAAGTAAATATATGTTTAATATATATATATATATTTCTCTGTTGTGGCTTTGTTGTCCCTCCTTCTTCCATCATGAGTGGACAGCGGGCGGCTTTTAGTGAGCAATCCCAGGTGTCAACGAGCAGTTTTTGCTTTATGGCACCACCCTGCATGCAGCACGGCTTGCTGAGTTCAGCGGCCAGGTGCGGTAGGGTTGCAGATCTTGCATCACAATGTGTCTATGGCTGTGTACTTGTATTTAGAAATGTCTATACAGATAGACATATAAATAACATATATGTATATATATATATATAAATCTCATGTACATCATCAAATCGTTTCCGCAGGAACTAGCCCGTTGGGTACTCATCCTTATTTTTGCAATCTGATGCTGATATGGGAGGTGAGAAGACAGTTTATCCCACTTGCCCCGTCCATGGGTCAGTCATTCAATCATCATTTTGTCAATTGCCCATCAAGGAATAGGAGGGAGTGAGCAGCCCAACTACAAGTGGTCAGCATTACCTTTGCGATCGCCTAGCCCGCTTTTTGTGGGTGGCTTGTTTTCTTTCTTTAGGTACATACTTGTGAATGAAATGCACTTTCCATAGGCTGCTATATAGGCTGCGAGATTGGAGATTGAACCTTCCATTGGCCATGGATTGCTAGTAGCTCATGTGCAGGTTCACCCCGCCTGACATGCTGAACTAATTACAAATCACCAGTTGTATTGCCAGTTATCGTATCATACTTGCACCCTCGACAGGTCATCAACGCAATTTCTGATTAGATCTCTTACTGCCAACTAAAAGACCATGTGTTCATAGAAACAAGCCAAAACAATGGAACACCGCATTTCTCTGCGATACATAAAAACAAAAAAAACGGTTGTTCAACAAAGCACACATGTCAGAGGTCACCGAATACAAGGGCCTCCACAGCATCCCACACTCTATAGATACATACACACGCGCACACACACACACACACGCGCATGCATGCATACTCCATAGATAGGCAACTTGAATAACACATACATGCATGCATACATGCATGAAAATAGAAATACATAAATGCGTTTAAGCACATGCATATACCCATCAAAACATTCATAAAACAAATACATACATGCATCCATGCATACATAAATGCCCCTAATTTTGGCTGGCCTGGCTTGGCCCCGAAATAGTCTCCAAAAATCTGCTTGCTTGGCAGCTGGGACGTTATAAACAGTTCGGGCACAGAACACGTGTGGGCAAGGGCCAAACACGGGACACTGTTCCCTGTCTCCTCCACATCTCTCGGACATTTTGGGTCAAGTGGTCTTCCCAGGGGTTACAAAACAAAGTGCAAAGGTGGGATGTGGAGGAAGTGGTTGCTTAGATTCGTCGGTTTTGAAAGGGAATCTAACCCCCGGAAGCGTGGAAGGGTACTGCCGGACAAGTGGGCAACAAAGTGGGAAGACGCGAGTCAGGTGCAAAGTAGAGGCGCGAACAAAACAAATGGAAATTGAGAAGAATACTCCAGCAGCAAAGCAACCCAAAGATCCGCGTAACTAGCCATTTTCTCTCGCGCCTTAAATCGCCTCTGCATTGTACGGGTTCCACTGATTTCTTATCAAGAATCCGACTGGCAGGGAGTTGGGAGGACCAAAACGGTTGTTTGTAGAGGAGAGATGAAGATGGACCAAAAAGACGGATGGATAGACGGGAAATTCTTGAAGTTTTTTTGTTTGCAACTGGAAAGATGTATAGATACATGGATGGATAGAGAGAGAGAGAGAGAGCTAAAGAGAGATAGATAGATAGACAGGCAGACAGACAGACAGACAGACAGACAGACAGACAGACAGACAGACAAACAGAAAGATAGCTAGAGACATTAGATAGACAGATAGATGGATAGATGGATAGATAGATGGGTAGATAGATAGATAGATAGATAGATAGATAAATAAATAGATAGATAAATAGATAGATAGATAGATAGATGCGTACACATATTTTAGAAGACACAAAACACCTGTCACAATATGCTTTGCGCTGCAAGAGGAATCAAGTCCGATTGCAGAAAGACAGTTGCCAGGTCCCGGGAACTCCAGACTGCCAACGGCACGTCCTGCTGCGGCGCTTGGGCGGAGGCAGTCAATTCTGTGAGACAGGCGCGTGCCGTTTCTCATTTCGATGACTGAATCAGAGGAACCGCCGGTCTAAGGAAAGAAGAGACAAAAGATGGGTAGGCCGGTTTTTGCCTTTGGAGACGCAATGAGGATCAGGATGTGGCTGATTGATTATTGAAAGTGTTTTGAGGATTTGTTCAATCTTTGTTTGCTGCCACCTCTTGCGCGGACCGCTTTACATTCAGCTTTAGGTTTGTTGCTTCGAAAAGTACATTGACATCCTCACTCGACAAGAAGTAGTGGAGTGTGCTGAGACTTCAGCCAGCATGAGCTCAATTAGGTGCCATAGGTGCGCCACCCTCGAACAAGATTGCTTAGCAGCTGTTGTTCCAGGTTTTATGGCGCACGAACAAGCAACCGAAGCTGGCTACAACAAGGACTGAAATGTTCTGCTTGGGCCAGGCTTTTTTGCTGCTTCCATGGAAGCACAGGCATAGAGTGGACATGCTCTCGGAACATGCACATAACAACCATCGGGCACCTCAAGGAGGCATTGGTCTTGCGGTGCTTGTACAAGGAATGTTTTGCAACAGTGTAAGGGACGACGCGTGGTCAGCACTTGTGGTGATGGTCGTCACTCACGGAATATCACGCTTAAATTTTGTGATGTGGAGCAGGGGATTCGCTCAAAACAAACAGGTGTATGCATTTCAGTTGTCTTGACGTATGCGCTGTACCGTACCTGGCTAGTAGCTTTATGTTTCAGACTGTAGCATCCGGTGCATGCAGGACAGTCTTGATAGTCCATGGGTGGTGCTGGTCTGCCGCGTCCTTTTGGGAAGGCAACCTGGCATTGCAGATCTATACTTGTATTCCATTCAAGTGTCAAGTTCGTGGTAATTAGCATTCGAGTCTCTGCTCGAGGCTTTTGATTCCCACAGGGGGAACCAGTCATTTGTGTCACGTGCGTGCAGCAGCTTTAACTCCAGGTCGTTTGTTGACTCCGACCAGGTCGTCATGTCTCACACAAATTTGTCTGAGGATATAGCAGTCCAATTCAGCTAAGAACAACACACGCATACACTGAATAACTCCAACAAACACGTAAAATACAATGTTTCAGCAGGCTCTTTCTAACATTAATATTCCATTCAAACATGAATGTGACCTGCCAGCTCCTCTCAAGTCTGTAAGCAAGAAGCACTCAACGCATGTCAAGCAAGACACGAATCAAATGTATCATCTCAAGAGATGCATCAGTCCAAGTCAACGCTAGAATGCTAAGCAACAAACACACCAGTTGAGCACAGAACAGAACAAAGAGCAACCATAAAGCCACCGAAGCCCAACATGTCAGCAACCTTCGGATGGTTCCTCTCATTTTTTCTGGGTTGCGGGCTAGTTGCTGTTTGGACTTTGTGCCGGGTGGGCTCGACCTATCAAGTTGCCGAGACGCCGTTTGTCGCCATACATGACTTGGACACAGCGCTCAGGTTGTTTGTTTTTTCCTTTGCAAATGCAGCTTCTCTGACATCACAAGGGTCAAAAGCAACGTGCGCTGCACTCTTTGCATGCTTGCATGCAATACAAACATATTGACAGCTTGCTGCATGGATGATTCAAATCATTCAACATGCAAAGCTTTCCCTGCTTTTTGCACCGAGGGCACCATTGTTGTCAGCCTGAGCCAATGAATTACCGCCAGCAACATCAATTCCAATTTGTGTTTCCGCCACTGCAACGGGCTTGGTCAGGCCACTTTGCCACCATGGCCAGCGTGTGGGGCCGCGGCTGCACCGGGACTGGGAGAGCGGCAAGTACGGCTCTATCCTGCTGCGCCGCTCGAAGGGCGAACCCCAGGACCCCATTTTTTCGTTCGCAGCAACTTTGGCTTTGAGCTTGATCCGAACTTGTCTTGCGAGCCGTTTGTCATCATTCCAGGAGCAAGCTAGGAATAGATTACTGCTTGCCATTCAGATATGGCTCACCTTGAGTCCCTTTCTTTCGTTCTTTGTTTCTTTCTTTTGGATGCTTCTGCTTCGGTTTGGCGATTGCATGTGTTTGTAGAGGGCTGAATCTGGCCATTTGGGCGTTTCTCCACATAGAAGAGCCCCTTTTGGATGGCTTTAAAGACAACCCACCTTGATGCTGAAAAACACCCATGTCATGTGGCAATCTGGCAGTTTGTTCAGTAGTTGTTGGGGAAAACTCTGATGTGGGAGTTGTCCTCGGTTCGCCCAGAACTGGATGGCCGTCGGGAGTACCTCCTGCCACCGGAGGTTGCTGAGGGCGCATACCCGGAGTTCTTGCTAATTCTTCGATGACGCTGGCAACGTGGCAATATGCCACTCGGGAGCAGCGTCTTGAGACCACTTGGTTTTGAAGCCATCAGAGGACCAGATAAAACAACTTGAGAGGAATGGTTCACAGCCTTGAAAGAAAACTGGCTTTTGCCAACTCGGCAGGTTTAGGTCCCTTTTGGCAAGAGAGGCGCGGAGCTGCTCTTTTTCCATCGTGGTTCCAAATTCGCCAGGCTTGGCAAATCCAGGCCTCATTTTTCGTCATGTAAAGTAGTGCAGCTTTAGTGGACCTGCAGTACACCTGCAGGGTTGCAGGGCACCTGCACTGCCTCACAGTATCAAGCCAGGCCTTTGTAGGCACATTGAATGTAGCGAAGCGGGCACGTAGCTTAGTGCAGTCCTTGGCACTTTTGCCTCTTGGTGATCCTTTATCCCAACGGTCACTGAAAGCAGGCTAATGCATCCCTAGCTTAACTCATGCGTCGTATGTGTGTCCCCCTGTGGCTCGCCAAGATCGTTCCATTGAGGAGCTGTGGCTGGTGTAAAAGCCAGTTGTGAGCCCCAGACTCCATGTTGCTTTTCTCCTCAAGGGAGAGGCAGTCAGAATGTGAAAGAGGTTCAGCGAATCTTGAGAGTCCAAGAGGATAGGTGACAGAAAGCTGCACTGAACATGGACATTGCACAATGTCGTGCAACAGCAAACCTATGTCATGTCACACGTGCAAATGCTCAGCCTGCGCAGTGATTTGCATGCCTGCTCAAAGGTATGAACATAGTGAGTGCTCTCAGTTGCAGACACACATGACTTCCAAACACAATATGTTAGCATCATCCATGTATTCTGTTCCGACTTTGTTATCACGCCAACACACTTATCTCGAGAGGCTTCACTAGCCGAGATGCAAAACGCAGTCAGTAAAAATGCTTGAATGCAAATGCAAATCAACAGGTCACAACATCGACACCGAACAGGAAGCAACAGCGACAAACAGACACCGCAAAAAGAATCAGGAAAGAGGGTCAGGAAATAGGCAGGTACGCCGGATTGATCAGATCCGGTATCCACCGAAATGCCGTAGCTTCATTGGAATGGATAGGCAAATCGGCTCCAGTCCCCCTGCAATGTGGAATTTCCGTCCGTGCTCCAGGACGCTTCACACACACGGAGCCCCAACTGGGGCGACATCACTTGTGCAAGGCCCATTGAGTCTTGCAAGCATCAATTGTGCGAGAAAGTCTTGTGGCGATGACTGACCACACATACTTGGCTTTGGATTTGGTCTTAAGGGAACGGAGGAGTTCAATCTCTCCCTCAGTCCAAGGCTGCGAGGCTTCAGGTTCGGCCTCAGTAGAGGCATCAGTCCTGGTCGATGTGGTAGCTTCGCTTGGTCCACGAGCAGGTTTTGGATGCCGTAGATCGTGAGGAGGCCAAATCACGTGCGCGGCGAGCTCGTTTTTCGCCGGGAGAAGACGGAGGAGGGGTGGGCGGAGCCCAATGATCAGGGAATTGTTCGTCATGATCAGTGGGAAGGTGTTCATCTGGAGCATCAGGAGATGGCTCAAAGAGGTCCTCGAGGGGGGCCAGGAGGGGTGTTGGTGGTGAGTTGGTCAGGTCCTCACTGGCGGGGTTGAACGTGGCCTCCGGTGCCAAATCAGGTTCGGCAGGCGGACTCTCAGGGAACTCGCGGATGGTGGCGATGCCTTGTTGGGCAATGCCAAGGATGAGTTCGAAGTCTTGGAGCAGCTGGCGTGCTGTGTTGGTATCCATGCTCGTAACGGATTTTGGTCAAACAGTCAAACAGCTGCGGCGCGAAAATCAGGTCAAATCTGTCAGGATGCAAAGGCAGAGAAGAAAACCAGTGTGGTTCCGCAAAGGACGGTTTTTCTTCTCTATGTAAGGTGAAACCGTGTTGGAGGTGCAACCTCTTCAACATTGCAAGACCCTGACCTCGCTGAAACTCAGGAAAGGAAACTCGGTTGATCAGCGTGCGTCCGGAATAACATCCAGATTCCTTATGCATCAGTGGTGCGGCTGACTTGACGGAGAGCATGTTGTGCTTCTCATGCGAGGGGATGAAGGAGATGGTGCTGCTTGTGAGGTTCAGTCGGAACCCCAAGAAGTCCAGGGCGGCATC